GTAACCTACTTCCTCCCTCCTCCTCCTCCTCCTCCTCCTCCTCCTCCTCCTCCTCCTCCTCCTCCTCCTCTTCCTTCCCTCTCTTTCCCTCCCTTCACCATCCCCTGTCATTTTCTACTCGCTCAAGCCCCCCTCAGGTCGTCATGGCACTTTCCGTCCTCCCTCCAGTCATCGCCGACATCTCCAACGCCATCAACTCGGCACAGACTGTGAGTTGACAGACGATTGACTTCTTTCTTTCTCACCAAAGTCCTCAGGTTCTGGAGCTGATTGATCGCGAGCCGGCGGTGAACAGCAAAGTAAGAGGAGAGGAGAAGGGAGGAGAGAGGGGAGGGAGCGGAGCGGAGGACAGGGAAGAGGATGTGACGGTACTGACGAGAAGAACAGGGGGGGTTGACGCTTCCTCAATGCGAGGGCAAGATTGAGCTAAAGGACGTCACCTTCGCTTACTCTTCTCATCCGGATGTTCCTGTCCTTGAACGTGTCAACTTCGTCGCAGACGCTAAGTGAGATCCCTCAAGACATCTCATCCCGCCTTGACCGTGTTTCCATCCATGCTCCCTCCTCCTCCTTCCTCTCCTGCTTCTCCTCCTCCTCTTCCTCCACCTCCTCCTCCTCCTCGTCTTCCTCCTCTCTCTCTCCCTCTCTCCCTCTCCCCCCACCCTCCCACTACCACCACCACCACCTTCCCTTCCTTCCCTAGCCCCTGCCCTCTCCCAGCAGTTTCTACCTACCCGTATACCTCCTTCTAACTTTTCCCTCGCTATGCTCCTCGCCTCTCTCTCTCACTTCTCTCATCCCTCCCTGTCCTCCCTCCTACTTTGTCTTCTCCTCCTCTCTCACCTTCCCTTGCAGGTCTCACGTCGCCATCTTGGGCAACAAGAGGAGCGGGAAGTCGACGCTGATCGCTCTGATCGAACGGTTCTTCGACGCCCAGGTATGATGAATTTCTCCTTCCCTCCTCACCCTCGTCTACGTGTACCAACTCATCTCTCCCCTCCACTTCCGTGTTCCTCCTCCCTCCTCTTTCCACTTGCTCCCATTCCCTCCTTCTCCCCTCCATCATTCTTCTTCTAGCGTCTCTGTCTTCTCGAATCTTCGGTTTCTTGCTCTTGTTTTCTTTTCTCTCTCTCTCTACCTTTGACAAGTCACGCAGGAGGGTCTCGTCCTGCTGGACGATACGGACATCAGCACGTTCGATCCTGTTTGGCTTCACCATCAGATTGCCTTCCTCCCTCAGGTACTTCCCTCCTCCTCCACCATTACCACCACCTCCTCCTCCTCCTCCTCCTCCACCACCACCACCACCACCACCACCACCACCACCACCTCCCACCCCTTCCTTCGGCTTGTCTCACTTTGTCCTTCTCTTGCAGGACCCTGTGATGTTCTCCGCGAGCGTCAAGGACAACATTTGCTTTGGGCAGCATCTGACACAAGAGAAGATTGAGGATGTGAGTCGATGATGACGATAATGATGATTACGATGACGATGATGATGATGATGATGATGATGATGATGATGATGATGATGATGACGATGATGATGACGATGATGATGATAATGATCCTCAGGCGGCCAAAGTCGCGAAGTTGCACCAGCCGATTCTCAGACTACCGGACGCGTACGACACACTGGTGGAGAGCAGCGAAGAGAAGGGCGAGAGGAGGAGGAGAGACGTGCAGCTCTCGCAAATGATGCAGCACAAGATCGCGATTGCTCGGTGAGAAGAGTGAGATTGGAAGGAAGCAAAGCATGGAAGGGAGAAGGAGGAGGAGGAGGAGGAGGAGGAGGAGAGGGGCAAGGGGCAAGGGGCAGGGACCCGTGATACGGGGACAAGGCACACAAGGAACTTGAAGATGAGGAGGAAGAATGAGGATAGGAGGACTCGGTAGCGAAGAGGCCAAGGAAGAAGATGTTGAAGTCCTTGTGACATCTGTGCATTTCAGAGCTGTTGCAAAGGATTGCTCCATCTGGCTGATCGACGACTTTGGCTCCTCTCTGCCAGAATCTTCTCGCGCAGAGGTTCTTTGCTACTTACCCTTCCCTCCTCTCCTCCTCCTCCTTTGCTCTCATCGCCCTCCTCCTCGCTCCTCCCTCCTCCCTCCTCTGCAGCAGAGGCATTGATCTTGTTCTCAGCTCTACGAGATTCTGCAAGAGATTATTCCGGGGAAGACGGTCAGTTTCTTGTCTATTCCTCCCTTCCCCCCATTCCCTCTACACCATCGTCCTCCTCCCTCTCCTCCTTTTCTCTCAGCATTCCATGACGACCTTGCAGGTTATCTCTACCTCCTCCTCTCCTCTCCTCTGGGGTCAGGCGGCCAACAAGGTCGGCGTTCTCGTGCATGGAAGGATCGAAGGTAGTTGACATTTCGTCGTCCCTTCATCATCCCCTCACACGGCTAGTCTCGTCCTCTTCCCTTCCTCGCTCCCCCGACTGTATGCTTTCCAATCCTGTTTCCCCCTCTCCTCTCCTCCCCTCTCCTCTCCTCCCCTCTCCTCTCCTCCCCTCTCCTCCCCTCTCCTCTCCTCTCCTCTCGTGCTCCTGCTCCTGCTCCTGCTCCTGCGTCATCTCCTCTCCTCTCTTCTCTTCTCTCCTCTCCTCTTCCTTACCCTACTAAAATTTTCTGATTGCACGAACAGAGTGGGGGGAGCCGAACGAGCTCAGAATGCGGCAGGGCTTGTACAGCTCGCTTATGCGGTGAGTGCAATAGGAAGCACACGAGGATGAAGGATGGTAAGTGGGATCCGAAGTAGACGAGGGGAGGATGAGGAGGAGGAGCAGTAGCCTCTGTTTTTTCGTTGCGTTTCGCGTT